AAAATACTGCATATTGAGTAATATTGAATGTGATTTGACGAATGTGTCTTTTTTCAGCCTTAAAATGCTCCTCATCGGCGGTATATTTGAAACGCAACTAGCATTTTCGTTAGATCCTAGAGTGTTCAATGCATGTAGCATTTCTTTGCATAAATTTATGTTTATTTCTAAAATCGTACTCATACGCAAGCATTCTAACGCTCATAAATGTTGGGATATATTTAGATTATATAGTACACTTTGAAATCAACTGCCTTTGGAAGGTTTTGTCAGCTTCCAGCCGACATAAACTGTCGAGCAGATAGCCCATGTTTTTCGTACCTGGCGCCCGTTACCTTGCACATTCTTTTTTCAACTCACAGTGAAAGCTGCCCATTTACTCAGGAGTAGCTGCAATGATGAACATATCTGACTGACTGTATTACCTATAGTAAACTTAGGTTAACAAAGAATAGTTTGAATGCAAAACTGATTGCCCTCTTTGCCAAGGCACATTCACAATTGCTTCATGACGATCCTTGGACATTACTTTCACATTCTACGCTTTCCGCTCGCTGGCCGTCGGCTTCTGAGCATTCATGCTCGAAAGTGTACAGTGGCAATCATGATGAGTCCACCCCTAGCCTGACGCCACATCCGGCTCACAGACATCTTCGTGCTTGAATCTATAGTGGTGGTCAAAAAAATCATGAAGTTAGGGAGAGACAAGCCCATTAAACCCATGCTTTAAGAAAATGAAGATGGCCTGCGCTCAGCCCTTTCCTCGGTACGACCTCTAAGTTTAAAACGTTGTATAAAACTTCTTAACTTATTTGAATAGTAAGCAAAAATAAAAGACTGATCCAGACTACCGTGTGTCTGTTGACGCTTGTGAAGCGGGAGTCGTCCGTCTAACAACTGGATGTCTTTGTACGAAAAACATGTGCTATCTGCTCGACAGTTTATGTCGGCTGGAAGCTGACAAAACCTTCCAAAGGCAGTGCACGCTGGGGAAGATGGAAACTACGATCATATGACCATAAAGCCGTATCCTTGATGTGCAAATGACTTTCTAAATATATGTCCATATGTCCTCGCCTAAAGTACTAACAGAGCCCGAGGACCACACACTGTCCATCTTAAATTATGTTCTTCACCTTCAGGCCACCTCCCCCCGATTCCGCACAACGTAAACTTCCCTGCAGTCAATACGCAGCGCCCTTCCCTCTGTCAACAGACCATAACCCCTTTCCTGAGTGAACGGTAAAATGTCCTCATAAGGGTGGAAAATTTATGTGGTGATGATTTATTGCCAAAAAACTTCTGTTCGTTAAGCTGTATACTGCAGCAAATGGGAAAGTGTACTTTAAGAACACATGCTTGCTTTGTCCGACTATTTTTGGACAATTTTCTTTTGCTTCATTCAACGCGCAGCTGGATGCCTACGTATCTTCTCTAGCTTTTGCATGGGCGAGAATTTTTACGACATGGAACTCCTTAGCAGTCACACAAGTTTCCAACGCTCGGCTCCGCGGGTTTACGCAGTCGTCCACTGAAATCTATTAACGCGGGACATTGCGGTAGGTGTCCTTCACAGGCTTTGTATTGGCTTGCGATCATCCTCAAATATTTCTGTCAGGGTGATCCACTTGTAATTGGGTTAATTTTGATTTTTGAACGCGAGGTATTTCCAGTAAAGTCCGCCTGAACTCGACGCAAAAATACGACATAAAAACTGCTTGATGAATAATAGCAAAAAATGAATTTTCGATAGTATGCAGGAAGTTTATAACGTTTTTGCAAAGAACGGCATAATTGTCGACTGCCTGTGTACGCAGTTGCACTACGTTAATTAAGCCCAGAACTCGCAAGGTTTTTGAAGCCACCATCCGTCGAATGCCGAACAATGAAAGGGGATCTTCGTCGGCTAGTGCAGGGGCTAGGCGCATGATTATAACCTTTATTGTTTTCTACTCACTTAGCTTAGCGCAGGCCGGGGGTGAGACGAGAAATTCAGACCTCTGTAATTTCAGTCTGATGCTTCGCGCCGTTTAATTTTTTCTCTCAGAGCCATCGTGACGGGATCAGCCTACCTCCCCCCTTTCGCGTCCTTCTTTCCTTTCCTTCAGCGAGTACTTATTTCCTTTTTACACCCCTCGACGCACGTTAGTCATGCACGTTCCCATTTCCGCCATACTACCTACACCGGCGGACGCGCCAATCTCAAGGTCACTCCGCCAGCCAATCAGTCTTCAGCCGCCATATCATTACGATATGGCGGCCGCGTTGGCATGCGCTCGTATGTCTATTTGCCTCACGCTAGCAACAGCCGCGCATTGATCATGCGCCGGTCGGGTAGTTGCTGCCCCCCTTGTGGATGCCTATCAAAACGACATTCCTGCCTCCTGTTGGCATTCCTGTCCGTTACCTCTGTCCTCTTTTCTTACATTTTGCTGGAATTCAAGAATGGAACGAAGCAGCCAGCGTCAAAAACGGCATTTCATGAAAGTAAAAGTCCGAGTGGGACTGCGAGGCTGTTCGATGAAGCGACGGACAGAGCGGATGAAGGGATTCAGGAGAGGAAGAGGAAATACATACTTGAGGAGTTCCAGGAACTGGCGCGCATTGTCAATAGCACAGTAGAGGAGTTCGGATTGAGGCTCCTGCGACGATGGGCGCTGTTAGAGGCACGCTTCTGTTCATCCCTTTTGTCATCCGCAGGTAAATATGTTACTTTATTATCTGTGTTGACAACTGAAACCCCCCTGTACATTTAATTGTGTTCATACTCTGAAAGACACAATTAGTTGAACGTGACTCTGCACTCCCCTGCGTTGCTTTGCTATTAACTAATGGAATAGCGACTTCAAGGACAGTGACTGGGGAGTGGCGGCGAGGATTCAAGTTGTCATAAAAATTGCTGGCGTTGCTACTTCCGCAGAAGACTTGCGTAGCTAATGTGGAGTTATTCTCGAACTTCTAGTATTTCTAATTGAGGCAGAAAAATTTGTACGCCCACTGGAGGAGATGCAACTGCAGTTTTACTGGACTGTTGGAATAATAACCACAGCGGAAATTTTTCATCGAAGTGCTCTGTCGTATATTACATTTCCGACTTATACAAGGGCGGCTGGAGTGGCTATTTCTAGCTTATTGGCTATTTCTAGCCAGCCATATCTGGTCTCAGGTTTAGCAATCCCTGAGGCTTGAATCCGTATTCAGTTGGTTAGATCTGCAATCCCCTAACCACTGGGCCACGGGCTCCTTGTCGCATCCATTGCGATCGGGTATAGGGACAATAGCAGAGGGGTGCTCACCGATCGCGTTAGGAACATTCTCGTTCCGTAGTGCTTTTGAGCCCAATCCAGAGCTCCTCCAGCAGCCTCACATCGGCTAGCAATATAGGTAGAATAAAATTACCGACTATGACAAGGAAGACTGGAATGACCATTTTTGGTCTATTAGACCTCATCATATGCAGTAAATGCTTTGATGCCGAGCTAGTTTTATGAGTTCTTAGATCCTGCGCGTAGAGCTTCGGCGTCGTTGTACTGGGAGACAATTCGTTTTAGACTCTCAACCCTTCCGCTCTTCTGATAAATCATCTGAACAATTTCTCAAAATTGACTTTGAATACACGTATGCCTGAAAGTGCTGTATCAAGGACTACCAAATTTAGGCATACAGCGGCCACTATGATCATGCTGCAGGCGGTAGAGGGGAGGGCTCACCGATCGTTTCTATGGAACTCACTCGTCCCGTTGTGCCTTACGGTGTCTCTCTCTCGAGCCCAACCAACAGCCGCACAGCGGCGCATGATATAGGCAGAATGATATTACCGACAAAGACAAGGGGGACTACAGTGGCCATTTCTGGCTTATAAGTCGTCATCAGCCAGTCATACCCAGCCCCGAGGTGTGGAACACCTGGCGCTCGACCTTGCGACCTGTTAGTTAGAAGTCCACGCCTCTAACTACTGGGCAACGGGCCCCTCGTCCTGTTGGTTGCGATCGGGAATATACAATGGCAGAGGGACGCTCACCGGTCGTATTTTTACGAAACTCACTCGTCCCGTTGTGCCCCGTCCCCTTAATCTTTAATTTTTATTATTATTATTTTTTTATTAGGTACATGTGATATTCTTGTAAAATTGGTCGATGCCTCAGCCCCGCAGTACACTATCGAGACCAGATTTCGATGGAACCTCGTCACTAACTCTAATTCTCAGACAGCAAAGTATTAAGCTTATTAGCGGTCTCTTGACGCAACAGTTGCCGCTTTACTATAATAGTTTTATTACCCTTTAAATTAATGGTAATTAGGGATACACGACCTCATTCATCTCTTCACATCCGTCCCACTATTCGGTGACTGGTGCTGAGATCTGGTATAGACACTAACTTGGACGATCGCTGGAACAAGGGCTTTATTCGCCTGATGTTTCGGGTTCTCACATGAACCCATAATCACAGACAGTGACAGAAACCGTGACTCGTTACTGTCACTGTCTCTGATGATCGGTTCAAGTCAGACTCGAAATGTCAGGCGAATAAAGTCCCTGTTCCAGCGACTGTTTCCACTTCTTACCAACTAGTTCCTGGAACTCGTATCTTCGCTTGTATCGACTAACTTGGACATCAATTCCTGCATTCGGCATGCCACAGCGTGTTGATTTGTCAAGGACGATGACTGCGACCTGCCTCGGGCACTTTCTAGATAACAGATCAAGTGCTCTGATTTTATAGGAAGTGTTGACCGCCTGGAGTCCTGAAATGTGTTTGACCGGCCAGATAAATCCTCCTTGCCTTAAAGGCAATGCTCTTCGATGCATTACTGCCTTGGAATCATATTCACACGTTCTTTAAAGGTTGCCAGCACAACAATGTGAATCACTGAGTAATAAAATGACCGGTACGCAAGCCCCACTGGGTATCGGTCCATTGGCTTTCAGTCTTAATTTTCGAAAATTTACGCTCTCGCGCCATTGTCAAAATCACCTAACAGAACTATTTGGATAATCCATGTCTCTTCGGCTCTGGACTCTTGTCTTTCATCTAACAGGCACTGGATTCGAACTGTTCGCGTCCGACGCCTGCAAGGAGACCTGCACTGATAACCCAGGTGGCAAGAAGCGAATCGCCCTGATCATCCCCATCAGGGACAGGTGGGAGCACTTGCATCTCCTTTTTCGGAGCTTAGTACCCCTGCTTCGAAGCCAAAACCTCTGTTTCCTCATTGTGCTCGCTGAACAGGTAGTTTGCCATTCAACTGCTTTCTCACATACGACTTGGTTTTACCCTTTTCTACACAAGCATTACGTGTCTCTACTAACAAATAGTTAGTAGTACGTTTTAACGTCTACATTTTCTTCCTCCATGGTGCTTACAGGCGCCGGGTCAGCCGTTCAACAAGGGCCTACTGATGAACGCAGGTGTAATCGAGGCATTGAACTTTATGCCCTTTCATTGCGTAGCCTTCCATGATGTCGATCTCATACCTATATCGACCAACCTCTCCTATGCGTGCCCTTCCTACCCGAGGCATCTCAGCACACAGATTGACAAGTTCAATTTCTCGTAAGTTCCGCTTGTCCGCCTACAAGAATGCAATTTCCATATACAAAAGCATTCCAACAGTTTGGCGATGCACAGTTAACAAGAGCAAAGAAGATTTCGGTTGATTTCGATGATGGAGATGTTGCAGGAATAAAAATTGCAAAAAAGTCGTATACTGGCAGGCCGTCCAGTGACCACAGCGACAGATGCAATCGCAAACGTCCCATTTTGTGTACATTAGGAGGAATTTTCCTGCGTTAGGTTTACTTGACGTTTTTCTGATGATGGAATACATTGAGTTTCACATTGTCCTGGAAATATCAGTGAATTCTTCACGCTTTTAAGTGCTTTCAATTGATTGCTCGTAAAAATATATTTTGTGCTAGGTATGTATCAAGAACCCAAAAATAAGATAGTTTTGCAAGTGTTTACCGAAGTAGTGAGCGCTTCGCGTTTTTTCTTTATGCATATGAGCGTCTGGGTCACAGTTGAAAACCTCACTGGCGAATAATGGGCATCCGATCAGTTAAAAAAACATTCTCTTTAATATTGTTTTCTGTTGGCGGATGTCCACGTCTTTAATTTTCTACACGAAATTGCCCCGTTTATATAGAAGTCTTCCACGGTCGCTGCTCGGAAACTTGGATATTACAGTGAGGGGTTTCAGCGTTGCAGAACAGTTTACCTTATATACATTATTGACGGGGAGCCAAAAATTAAGTGCAACGTTTCACCTGCTTTTGATGCCAGAGTTGTTGATTTTGTTGGCATAGTAACTGTATTCTCTAAGTGCTACATCTCTCTATGCGTATTCTGGTATGCTATCTCCCTACCATAAAATATATTACTAGCTACCTGTCGGCAGTTAATGAATACTACGTGGTTACCCGCTGTGGATGATGGGCTTCTGTCCAAAAATTCATAAATAAAAAAATTTCGCTCTGCGTGTATAGACCTGGAATACACTTATCTACTCCAAGTTCGCAATTAATTTCTGGAGAAAAAAAGAAGCAACATTATTTATCTGTTGCCGTCAGCAATTATGGTTTGAAAATGAAGCCGAAACTTAATGCAAATAAAGTTGCTTTCCAAGTAGTCACACATTCTTCATCCCATAGACTCCGCGTAAGGCGCTGCCAGTTGGTACTTAAAGACCGAAATATTTGATTTTAGCGAGCTTCATGTCCATACAAGTGCTCAACAGATAATTGGCAAACCTAATAGTTTTCAGATAAATCCTTTCAATTTAGACAGATAAAGCGCCTCATGTCTTTCTTTCAAGCTGCTTTTCTACAACATGCCCTTTCTCTGTACTTGCAACTGCACTTTTCCCTATGCTGTTTTCTCCGCCTCTGAAGGCTTCCATATGTCGGTCTTGTGGGTGGCGTATTGGCTGTTCCCTTAGATCAGTTTCTTCGAGTAAACGGATTCTCCAACATGTTTTGGGGCTGGGGTGCTGAAGATGATGACTTCTTTGAGAGGTAACTTCCACCTTCCCACGTCCAATAATTGTGTCTTTATTGGATCGGTTGTGTCTACCAGGGCCAATCAGCGCGGCCCTTTTGTAAGCTACTCTGATTGGTCAATTTCGTCGATAACATTGTGTGTCTTTGTCAGATCGGCTAAGGGAAGGCGATAAAAATTAAAAAAATCAATAGCGATATACGCGCAAAGCTGCGCCGACAACTCAATGCTTGAGATGAAAAACTTGATCATCTGAAATAGAAGCAAATTGTTTCAATGTTTTCAAGTTTTCCCAGGTGCAATGGTCAGACCAACCTCTTCGAGTCCCTATTCCAGGGCAGCCATTCGCGGGCTGCCCTGACTGGTCGATTTCGCTGATTATATTGTTTTCACTATAGCTCTCCACTAGCATGTGATGATAGATCTACGAAAGCTCCCGAAAGTTTTTAAAGGGGAAATTCCTTTTTCGGTATAGTATGTTGGTGAAAACGAGTGAAAGGGTCTTCGGTGACCTGTGTGGCTTAGTCCATAAAGTCGCTAATTAATATTAATTTCCGTATAACGTAGATTATGTAAATTATTACGGAAAGTCTCTGTGTCGGTCTAGAAGCGAGAAAATAACGGGATCTTATTCTTGGCATATTTCTGCTTTTGTCCTGCAGAAAAGGCTTGCCCTCTGTTCACACTGACATTCATTTTAATTTTCTTTCCGACCGTTATTTCTGAAGAAACTTTCGAAAGCAGTATATTTCGTATATTTTTGTATATTTTCTTTACTCTTCTCGCATCAGGCTTATGTTCATCGGTTTGCCAGTAATCAGGCCCCACCCGGGACAGGCCAAATACGTGATGCTTCAACACAACAAAAGCAAGGCGACCGACTCCTGGCGCAGGTAATCGAATCGACTTCCTTACCTTAATAAAACTAAGCCTTCCATGTAAACACATGGCACTGGTTTTCTGGTAGCGTCATGAATGTCGAGAAGGATGATAATGATCAGCGGAGGTGAGGGGCGTAAGTTCGCGATAGTGCCTTCCAACATGGTATAAGTTGTAGTGGCGCACGCAGACAAGGTCACTATATATGCCAGCCACCGCGCCCATTCCCCGCACACTCACCTCGCGCATCGGCCTGGTCGGTCGCTTGCGAATCCATCGCACAGAGACTGGGGACCCAGTACCTGCAGCATCAACCTACGCTCGCCGCATCCGCCTCCACTGTTCACACTGCACTCTCACATTCATGTACCGCATGGGTCCCTACGGCCACATACGCGTCCACGAAAACCTGCGGTAACCGACCACTGGCTGCGTCACACCATCCCTCACCAGCATCTCATCGCACATCAAATCACCCACCACAAGTATCCAAATGCCACCGTCTGCACAAACTGGAAGTGTGTGTCTTGATTCCGTCTTCATACGGCTCCCCAGCTACATGTGTGACTCGAGTCTGAGACTATCACAGCGCGTCAAGCACCGTGGCTAAGAAGTCCGCTGACTGACGCCCCAACTTAGTCCACGCAGTCCGTACAGTTTTGTGCATTCATGTGGAGTGGCGGACTTGTGAGCTGAGAGCCAGACCAAAACAGCTCCTTCTAAACGTGACCTACGGCACTCTCACGCATGTGAGGTGTACGCCACTCAACCCCCGTTGTGTGATATCCTGGTGTGTGTCTGTGGGGCCAGGTCGTGCATGTGACGTGCGCAGACAAGGTCATTAGATATGACAGCCAACGCACGCATTCCCCGCACCGGGCAGCTGACCGGCTCGGGCTGTGCCAGGGGCCTGGGGATGGGGAGAGCGGAGTCGATGGTTTGACGCACTTTCCTCCTCACTACAAACAATCTGTCGCGCTTGAAGCTATCACGATGCGCTAAAAGCTGTGACTTGGAAGGCTGGCGACTGACGGGATAACTTGGATCTCGCAGTCGGCCCAGCGTTGTGCGTTTGTGTGGAGCGGTCCTCTGGTGGTCTAAGAGTCAGGCTGCAATGGCCCCTTCTTAATGTGGCCTTTATAACACTCCCACTTCCTGGGATCCGAGCCGGGTGTGACGGCACGCCTAGATGCGGGTCCGGCTGTGCCAGCCTCCCTTTCGTTGTTAGCTTAAAAAACCTGGTCATTTTCTGTGTAGGCGAGGGGGGGTGGAGTTGGATGTCAAAGTGCGGCCTCGACCCTGCCATTTACCTGTGCCTTCTCCTGCCCCGGTCCTCCTGACTATTTCTTGACACCAGGTCCAGGTGGGGAGGAGGAGGAGGAGGAGCAGGAGGAGGAGGAGGGAGTGCGGTAGACGCTGCGCAAGTCTACATTCACTATAAACTAAATCACACCCAAGTCACCGTCACGGCACCTTCTTGCTTTGGACATCGTTAACAATGACGGTCGAACTATCAGTGGTAGTGGCAGCAGTAACAGTCCTATGGAGGAGGACGGCGTCGTCGTGGCTCTAGTTGTGGTGGAGTAGCTGTCATCGCAGACGCAGAAACCCTCTGCGCCGTTCATATCCCAATCACATCTACCTCGGCTTTTTGTCCTTGACAAAAGCAGGTTTTCATTGTAAAGAGTCGAGTGCATTCTTTGAATTTGTTTTATCGAAAGACGCTCTCCTATGGTCATCAGATTTATAGTAATAGGGTCTGGAGCCGTTTACGAAGTGGAATTTGCTTTGGTAGATTCAGGCCTGATTGTGACTGACTGTCGGACGTCTGCGTTCCCCAAAATTTGCTCGTTGTTGTTATAGGTTACGTCTTCGCATACCAGTGGAGCATCTAGCTGTTCAAAAGACACCACAATATTGGATAACTGGGATTGGCTCAAATTCTACAGTAACGGTACGCGGTTTGCCGCTTCACTTCCTCCAGTCCTACTTTGTCCTCCTAGCTTGGACAAAAATCTGACAATCCATCTATGTTCTTTCTATTCCTTCCTCCAAAAGGAGTGCTCTGCTCGTTCTCAGCTTCAAGCGCTACCGTCTGGACGGTCTGAACACACTTATCTACAGCCTCAAAAAGAAGACGCTTGCGCCATTGGGGAATTTCATGCCTACTGACCGGCAAGGCTGGACTGACTTCGGAACTGACCCCGTTCTGCACCTTTTGATTGAAGTGACCAGAAGATCATCCAAGGAACCCTATGGTCTCTTGCACATCACATGAACTTGGAAAATAACTCCCTCAAAGTACTCGTCAGATTTTTTATTTCATCATTCTTCCTTTTGTATATTTTTAGCATAAAGCTACATGTTAAATCTGAGGGTTCTATCGGTGGGAACAAATGACACCAAATGTATCTTTCGTGACTATGCTACCCCCTGAGTACCTCATGGAATTACAGAACAACTGACACTAACCACTAACGTTGCGTCTGTTGTAACTGGAACCATACTTCCTTGTAAGCTGGCATCAGCGAAAGGCATCGCATTAACCGCACATCTGGAGCTAATCTGAGTCCTTCCCAACTCTGCCAGCGTGTGGCTTCACCATATGGTGGGGCTGACCGCTGATGGAGGAGCCATGGCCCCATCGAGGAAGACAGGATCTTTCGGGTACCATTTAAGCATCCATCCCGTTACTCTTCGAACTGCATATACTACTTGAATTCAGAAATCTATCGTTTCAGACAAAAGTGCCTTTAAGGTATACTTTGTGGTCATATACTACACCGCTGGATGAACTTAAGATAGATGTTTGTTTAAGTGGAAAAGATAGGGGTCACCTGTCTGGTCTTTACCACTTGCTGGCGAGGATGGGGGTGGAAGTGCACATTTAAGTGGCCCTCCGGGTGCAGCTCAATGAACAAAAGATCAAACGTGAACCCAGTCTAGATATGAACCAAGATATTACCGAGTCGATAGCTGACACGCACAAAACAGCACCTCAACTCGGGTTCGACGAAGGCGCAGTCGCCACTACATCCGTAGCGTCCACTAACCCGGCAGACAAGAAAGGAAACAGTCGTTGCAAACTAAACAAGCTCGCTAGCTAGGGTCAATGAGAGCGTAGACGATGGCCGCAAACGTCTGAACGCCGGCCTCCGACAAGAGGGACGTAGATTGAGAACATTTTATCATCTCCCTCCATTCCCTCTCCCCTCTTCCACAGTTCTTATGCGCATGCGGATAATAACCGCCAAAATTAAAACAACACCCTCTCGTCCGGCGGAAGGACTCTCGAGAACTCCCTCCCCGCCCCTTCTTCTCTGTCTTCCTGACTGCATTGGTAAACCCGTTTTAGCACGACTGCCACCCACGCACAAATACTGTGAGGAAAAATTAACTTTTTGCCTGCAGATCAGGCCGGGTTAATTAGACAAATTAAGGTACACCTACAGACATTTAGCCGGAGGGGCTAGCAATCTGACCTTTCTTCAGTTGATTTCGATTGACCTACAGGCACTCCTTCACCAACAGCGCTACGAACGGGGCTCTAAATAATCCCACGAATTGTGAAAACGCTTGCTTCATAATCCAAGTGTCTTAGAAAGTTTCCTACATATTTAAGAAATAAAGCCATTTCTGGTCATGAAACCTAACCAGCCAACCGTCGAAGGACGCAGGATCTCTCATGGCCTATTCAGGTAAGTTACGATTACCCTGAAAAGTTTTTCCTGACGAAAGAGGTGGGAAATCTACGCCGCTGATGCTAGGCAGACTCCACAACGAGTTGAACTGTAGACGCGCTGAACCAACACAAAGGCCAACCTGGCTCACATCACGCGTTAATGCGATTCCCTTGAGCCAACGCGAGCCCATACATATCTGTGTACTTGCGGGGGGCACGCCCTAGACGCTGCTCCTCATGCCTCACCAACCAATGTGCTCAACTCCATCACCTCGTTCAGTATAGGTCAGTATATTTCAAGGGTAATAGGCAATGCTTTGAAAACCTCACTGAAGTCGGTACATACAATATCTAACTTTAAATAAACACGATGCTAAAATCTTGTCCGTAAGATGCATATTTCACAGAATATCGACTTTAAAGATGCAGGACCGAAACTCGGGGGCACTCAGTTGTAGGTGATAACGGCAAAATGAAATGACAGTGATCCGCATTAACGGTATGTGTGTGCAAGGCGTTGCTTTGGTATAACACAGCTGTTCTGTCCATTCAAGCAGCATTTTTCAAGCAACTGTACATCTAACTATTGTTTAAACGTCTCCTTGGAATCCGCCATTATTACGTCATCGGGAAGCCCGTTCCAGGCACCGAATACTCGCTGCGAAAAAGAGTACCTGCGAACGTCCAGGCGGCATCGGGATCCACGGAGTTTTAGAGAGTTCCCACGCCGGTTTATTGCTGTGGTCAAGGTGAAGAAATCATCAATGTTTAGTGCACAGTCCCCGTTCCTCAACATCCGATACGCCTGTATGAGATCTCCTCGGAGCTGCCTGTACTCAAGGGAAATAAGTTCAGCTCATCAAGTCTGCGGCCGTAAGATAAAGTCTTGGGACCTTTCGCAATGTCAGTCGCTCTTCTCCAAGTTTTTCCCAACAACTTATAGTCTTTTTTCAGCCACGGGCGCCACGATTGGATTCCATATTCTAGATATGGACAAATGAACGCTCCGAAGACTTTTCCAATTAACTCTTTGTCTGTACCTAGGAAAGTTCGTTTCATGGTAAAGAGAACAGTGGTTCACCTTTTGGTCGCCCTAACGCATTTAGAAGAGGGCTTAGGACTCGACAGACACGGAAAGTCGACTGGTGTATGGGAGATGAAAGAGAAGTTATGGCCAACATCCTCTCGAAAAATCAGAGAATTCCTCACCATGGTTAATTTGAGGCGTCTGAATCTCCCACAACGCGTTGAGAGCCTTGATTTGGGAGATTTATAATGAACGAGGTAACTGGGTCAGTCACAGAACTGAAATCCAGGCACATTGGCACCCTCAAATGCGTCATTGACGACAGCGTCCTTAATAAGACATCCAAGTTTGCTCTCTCGTGAGAGACCGGGCCTGCCGGTGAACTAGGCTGATTGTGGTCTGTGTGGGCGGGCTGTTTATCCCTGCCATTCATTTCATCTGTGAGCACGCCCGCCCTCCTGACTTCGTCTTACGTTCGAAGAAAATTAAGTGAAAGAAGGGAGGGAGAGAGAGAGCAGGAGATGTCAATGAAGTCCGCTTCGCTACAACCTACCTCACGCACAAGTCATTGTTAGGCGTCGATAGTATGCAGGACCCACAATTAACTTGAGCCAGCCTGTGAACCGCCTCATACGTTGAATGGTGGTGGGGGGGGGCTGCGAGTGAGGCAACACACAGTACGGACAGCAAGAAGGCACTGAAAATAGATGAATGCCTGCCGAAAGTCTTATAGCACTCTGTCATTTGACAGGGAAAGTGAGCGCGACGAGTAAAATGTGAACAAAAAGTAATTTTCAAAAAATATCTTCTTTGAATCAAACGTCATCGGTAAGTTTACATTTAGTCGGGAAAGGTAAGGAAATTTCAAATAATGAGAACAGTTAATAACAAGTAATGCTTACAGTCACACTGGTTTTCATGCTATATTTTTGTAGCCGCCATCTACTTTGGGGTAACGCACCCTATCGTTACGCAATTGTTTTGTTCCACTCCGTCGGCTACTCAATGAACCTCGTCGCTCGCAACCTCGAACTGACTTTTTATATATTTTAGCCGCATCTAGTGTCGGTGAGGGCGATTCCAAGCGCGTGCCAATGGAGACATAGCAACCCATCTGCTGTGTAGGATCCTCTCTTCCGAAAACTAAGTTGGTAGGCTTCTAGCAAATGCAATACGTATTGACAATTGAGTGAAAACGCTGGAAATCATGAAGCGTTCGGCAATATTTCAAGGCCAACCTGAGATTCAACATAGTACTTCCGCGTGGACTCATTTAAGTGTAGACTCGACGCGTATATAGCTTCCCAATTACTTACTGTTCGACCGTCAATTTCGACGATGCCTACCGTGTGCTACACACCAGGATGCAGCAGGCACGGTGACGAGCACGCGAAGCATCTACCGCACTCTCTCTTCCCCACTCCCCACATGCGCCTGGTATGAAGACAGAGTCAAGAAGACCGGAGGCGGGGGATGGCGCCGATAGATGTCACGGTCGAGTCCGCACCTTGACGTTCCACTCTACATCTCTTGGCACACACAGCAAATGACCAGGTATTTGACCAACAACGGCAGCGACAACAACAACATCCCAATAGGGGTCTGAAGGACGATAGTGGCTGGGCAACCGTGCCCACAACCTGTATAGCCAGTGGGAACGCAAGCGCATCTGCCGGCAGGGAATCAGGTGTCAGGGGACTGCCAGCACATTCCAAGTTGCGAAAACCATGGTTTGCTGATACCGATATAGCACACGCTTTCAGACCTTTTGATTTTTTAATTACCAGTACCACATTCCCTCACATAACGCGTCACCCAAATTATGTACGGTTATACTTATTACATTGAGTGGGTTACCGTTAATTATTACCCTTTTTTCGACTAGGCGGCAGCTGTCTGCTATTCAAATGCAAGTATGTACAAAATCTCTTCTTCAAAATTCCGCTTATCAGTGCTTTTCTTAAACGATTTCTAGTAAATGGGGAGTTCAAAGTTGCTCGTCTATATTCCTCTTAGTAAAATTGAACTGAAAGGAAAAGCGTAGATTAATTTCAATGAAGAAAATTTCCCTCTCCATACACAAAGTGGTATGTTTGCGATTACTCCTGCCAATTGTATTTAAATTTATTAGACAATGAGCCGTCTGGCAAGAGGTGTCTTTATGAAAACCTTTTGCAGGGGTCAGCTACGCTGTCCTGGTCCCAAGTGTAAGCGCAATGTGGGCATTGCCAATAAAATAAGCCGAAGGCGGACGATGAAATCGTTAGTGGAAAAGTAGCCAAAGATAAAACGGGAAAGGGCTACCCTCTGTTTCGGCTTAGACGTAGGGTTAATTTTAGAGCTTGGGTTAGTGCCAGGCTGAGAATTGAGTTGAGGATTAGAGTTTGTGTTAAGTTTAAGGGTTCCGCTTAAAGTCAGGATTTTGATTGCGGTTTAGGCTTACATTTAGTATTAAGGCTGTGGTAAGAGCTAGTGTAAGGGTTAGGGTGGGGTTGCGGCTATGGTTATGCTTAAGGTTAGGGTTAAGGTTAGGGTTGGAATTTAGGTAGGGCTAAGGATAACGTCGGGA